CCTTCTCACACCCACTGGCTTACCCCCTCCCTCAGGGCAAGGCTTTAACTCCTGCAGGTGCAGAGAACCTGCCACTACTGCCCCACTCTCCTGAGCCTCCTCAGCTGCTTGTGTCCATGCTGCATACTTCCTACCCTGCCATATCAGGGCCAGCTAATAAGCATCAAGCTTGCCAGCTAATTCATGCAATCAGCTCACCTCTTAACCAGAAAAGACCCCAAGCAAGCTATGTTATGAAGAAGCTATTTCTTTCCTAAAGCATCACTGATAAATGGGTGTTTAAAACTTCAGTCAAAGCCATTATAACCCTCCTGAGCAGTCACAGTCTGCACGGTGTGTGGACCGTTTTCCTGGTATTTAACCTCCATTTCACCTTGTCACAAGCTTTTCTGCGCTCAGAAGCTTACAAGACAAGACCAATAGTCCATCCTGTAACACAGTTGCCTGTAACTTTGTAGAGAGATCACAATAGCAGGCTGAGCCAGTCCACCTACTTCCAGCTTTGAGTAAGGAAGTTTGGTTTGTTCACATCTTTACATGAACAGCAGTGATCCTAACAGGACAGAACGCCCGCGCCTCAGCCTACCCAGAGCCAAGGAGAGAGGAATAATGTGCGCAGGTTTTTGCTCCTTTTTCTTTTCCCCCCCCTCTCCTCTCTCTCAAACCACAGGAAGCTGCTGTTAGCCCATGCCAATAGAACATTCTCCTTCTGTGATTGAGTCACCTCGTAACCCCCGGAGCAGGGACCGAGTTCACTTGAATACATTAAGAAGTCTTAAGGAAGCAGACTGCAATCGAACAACCTTCAGAAGAGCCACAGCCCGCTTAGTTCCATTCCAGCACTGAGCTTCTGGTAGTGCCTTGCTTCAGTGTCTCCAACCTTTTCTGTCTCATCCTCCCATTTGGAAGTCAGTGTATTGTAACCCAGCTGCAGTTCTGTATCCCTCTATACCAAAGAGGGCTTTCAGCTTCATTTTACCAATACTCCGTTTCCATTACGATAGTTGCTTTTTGAGGGAGGAAAAATGGGAGAGAAGGATGGAATCGGCAAGTATTTTGTCATTCAGACCTAGTGCGCGGCAATCATGGAACCAGTCAGTTCTAAGTAGTGCATTTCCTTACCTCTGGTTGTATCAAACAGGATTTTGGTTTGGCTTAGTAAAAGCTGATAGTTTCCTAACAATGTTTATTATGTGAATACTTTTCTTCCAAATATTCATATAATGCAAACAAGAGCCTGAAAGAAGACTGTGCATCAAGGCATCTGTGAAGTTCATCAAGTGCCCTGCCCACGCCCCAAACAGGCTGTGGGAGGGAGCACAAGCAACTTTGTAAGAGGAGAGCTGAATAAGATAGGATGGAGCCCTGGGACATCTCTTACGTTAATATGGGGAAGAAGAAGAAAGAGGTGAGAAGCATCACACTCACTGCTTCTGTTTCGTGCTGTGGCCAGTTCCTCCCCTTTGATGATGGTAAGGCTCTTTGTTCACTTTTTGTCACCGGAGCTAGGTTTACTCAATTGCTTCCTCACAGGAAAATCTAAACAACATAAAGAACATCTGCAAGGGTAAGGCAGAGTTCAGAGCCATATGAACTGGCAGCACTATAGACAGACTGCAAAACAGAGCCATTTTGGATGGTTGCAGTCTTTTCTGGGACCAGGCATGTGAAAAGAAAGCAACATTTGCTCTTTGGAGTGGGGAGAACATCCAGTAACTTAGATTACCTTCATAGCATCTCCTGGTCTGAGAGAAGTTGGGCAGTTTCAGTCATTTTGACGGTATTACGTTCCTAAATGTACCCCATGCCTTTTTGACATGTTTCCCAGAGATACACAGAGATAACAAGGTTGAAGTAAGGCAGCCATTAGGAACTGGCCCGCACTGTGACTATTCATACTTCACACGTTCTTTCTGAAGGTAATTATACTGTATGTCACACAAAAACTTTTGTCTACTTTCATCCTGTCTGCACAGAATCTGCACTTCAGTATCAGTACTGTACCTTCAGCCCTCTTCAGATCAATTTTTGGATCTTAAGCTGAGGAACAGAACTATCGATATAAATACATCTCATATTCCAGGTGTTATCAACTAGACTCTGAGAGGAGACAAGAGAAAGGGATAGTCAGCCCAAAGGGCACACACTACAGAAGAAATGTCAACTGTTTGGCATTGCTGGAATGTCATTTACTTTCTCACTCCATTGCCCAGAGCACAGATCTCTGCTCGTGATCTTCAGGGACCTGACATGCAAGGAGAGAACACCAGGAAGCTTTTTAAAACAAGAAAGTACAAACAGATCAAACCAGTGGGTTTTATTTTCCCCTTCAGGGCTTCCTGAACCAGCTTCTATACCACAATTCAAGAGACTTTTTTTTAAAAAGTTGGCATAGGGGTAGAAGCCTACAGGCTCTCCCTCTGTCTCAGCAGACACAGCAATAGCTGCCTTCTCTCAGGAAGGGCTTCCTGTTTTGGTCACTGTCCTGGTTCACAAGCCCAGCCATCTCCATTTAGAAGATGACAGCACAGCACAGCTGTGCAAGACCAGCTCCGAGTGCCTGCCTTCAGAGATTCACGGCCATTTGCAGAGCACTCTCTAGCTCTGCTGGAATCAACACCAGGTTTGTGCCCAGGTTTCCAGGCAGTGGGGCAAGCACTCCTAGTACAAGAAAGGGCAGACTGAAAGCACCAAGAAGCAATAATAAATACCTAGAACCATTCAAGAAGTGAAATACATAGACTGCAACTTCTCCCAATCCTCAATGAAGGCCTCTCGCCCTTGTCGGAGACAGGGAGCAAATCCACTTCAGAGCTCTATCCAGCAGAGCTGCAGCCTGCACAGCTCAGCACGCATGGGAACAGCAGAGGCTTGGCAAGGACACAGAGGGAGGCGGGGGGAAGTTGCCACCAGTAGCTAATCATCTGTAGGTGCCTGAAAAGATTGACCATGTTCCCAACAGCCCATAAGGCATGTACCGTATCTTCCTACGGACAGGAGAGATATGGTTTGGGCAAGCTCATAGCATGAACAGATGAGACTGGAGACTTAAAAGCACTGTCAGCCATGGGCTGCCTGCAGCAATTCTAACTCCCCTAGCCTGGAAAAACTGAATGCCAAGTCACGATAAACAGAGTCCTACCCGAGTCATCTACTAGGAGAACATGAAATCCTGCACAAGCCTAATGCCTCTGGATCCAGGCCCCTGATACCCTGGGGATGCCTCATATGCCTGTTCAGCTAACTACAATGCCCAGTGACAGCCGCTAGATTTAGCGCGCACAAATTCTGACCGTCGGAGTCAGAAAGGCTCCTTCCCATCGTGCAGTTCACAGAAAGGAGAAACTACTGCAGGCTGAAATACGATTAGGATGCCAGTCACACATATTGCTTCACAGCAGTGCCCAGCTTCAGCCCACTTTTCAGCTTGGAGGAACTTGATGAAACTATTGTAGCAGTCACTGACACAGAGCTGGATGATTACAGCAGAGGATGCACCACACTCTTTGCATTGATGTTACGCTTTGTGCTGGAAACTCCTTGTTCCCAGACAGTCAGAGGGAATTTGGGTGTTAAATTACAATAGTCACCATGCCACATGGTAGCAGTAAAAAGCTACAACTTGAACCGCTTCCGAACTGCTCAAAGGATGCAAGGCTTTTTTCCTTATTCTTCAAAGAGCAGAATCCCAAATTGCCCATGAAAACTTCCAGAGGCAATAGTCACCATTTTCTATCCCACCCACTAAGGCCTTTACATTAAGATTCTAGGGGGAGGTTTTGCTTTGCTTATCTGAGACGATTCGCTGTCGTACAGCACCATCTACACCCATCATGCTAAGTGAGTAGTGATAAAGTAGCTTGCCCGATCAGAAAGTCTGTTTTGAAAAGATAAGAGTCCCTCACAGGGTTGAACAGCTCTCTTACTGTTTGAGCATTTCCCCATTAACTCTCCTGGGCAGCCTAAATTCACTGATCAGCTGATGGTGAAAATAGAGGCAGTTTATTAGTGCTCTCCAATCAAGAGCATGGCTTTTTCCACTCAGGCTATGGGCAGATACTTTTAGCTTTTGAGGTCCCCAGTTCAATCCCTGGACATCAGCCATCACACAAACCAAACTGTTCAAGCAACAACTGAATGATCTCTAGCCCTCAAGAGGGCCAGAATAAAGAATATACAGTATTTTCTACCCTCGGAAATACCGTATGAGCTCTTAACAGAAACAGATCTTGCCCCTAGTGCTGTGCCTGACTACAAAACTGAGAACAAACTATCCTCTAAAAAAAAAAAGCTGTCACACTACAAATATACCTGACTGCAATGTTTGTCCAGGGAAAGTCTAGAAGATTCAGACTAGTTCTTGTACAGTCTGCAATAAGTGACTAAAAACCTCAGTTACTGTCCAGTGAAGAACTTTTGGGTCCACAGGATTTTCAGGCTTTTATGGTGCAGTTATGCCAACTCCAGTCTGCCAAGGACCTGGGTAGAGGTGACATTTTAGCACAATCCAGTGCCAATCCTCATTCGTTCACTGGGGTTTGATAATAGCATTCCAGGTGGGCAGGAGTTCGCAGGCCTATACCTAGCTGACACAGTCATGTTACCCCTTTTTACAGCCTGGGAAGACAGCCTTCACTAGAACAAGTGCAGGCAAGCCAGGGGAGCTCAAACTCATAGGTCGGAAGAAACGAAAGAGCAAGTAAAGCAATACAATACAACAGGCGGAGAACAGGGAAGGCAGCAAGTGGCTAACCCAGCTCACACATTCATTCTGCTCCAAGCCGCCACTTGAAAGAAAGCATAATAAACATTTCAGGGAACTTCTAGTGAGATACTTATGAACGACATAAAACCCTTTCGGAGCAAAGCAGCCTCCACTTCACACCGAGTACGTTGCACACCTCACGTGAAGGTGATTCCTTCCCCCGAAAGAATGTGCCCAGTTATGCAACGCGCAGGGAGAAGCTCCACTGCGACTCCACCCAGAGACCAGCTCACACCTGGAGCGAGGAGTATCAGGACCCCGTCATTTCAGCCCACACGCCGCGGTGGTGCGTTCTGCTCCCATGACGCAGAGAGGTATTTGAGCCCTCGGAAAGCTCAGCGACGCCTCAGCGACATTTGAATTCCAGGGTGGAGTGGGAGGCTCTGCTGGGGTTTTGTATTGCAATCCATTACCGTCGTATCAGAAATGCCTCCGCATGAATTAGGTTGGCAGTGGAATTCAGGGGAAGAGAGGCTCATCTCCCGCTTCGGACAGCGGGAAGCACCAGCTGGGTACGGAGGTTTGCAGGGCGAAGGAAAAGGCCAGAATACTTCCCAGGGCCAGGAGCGCGCGCCTGGCGGTGGTCGGCCAACCTTCCCCTCACCCCTGCGCTTGCAGAAGACTCAGGGCTTGAAGAATTGAAGCGAGCAAAGAACACATAGCTGGCACAGAAAGCAGCAGAACTGGTTAACACATTCGGGCCACCCCAGGTTCACTTATTGATAGTTTTGTGGAGACCACGGATCCCTTCCTGTGCGCAGCGACAAATCATAGACCGTTTTCTGAAGCGCGAGACCTTCAGGCCCGCTAATACCCGGCGTGTTTATCAGCTTTCCC